ACTCTTGGAAGTCAACTTCCTCTGCACAAGGTGCTGTGTGACCCCGTCACAATATGTAACTTTGGTTTATCATTTCATCTTGCCAGTACAATAGTTGTGAGTTTGAAACGCAGAATTGCTCTTCGAGAAGGGTAAAACCGACTTCGCAATCAGATCGCTACACCACCGTCAAATCCAAATGGAGATTGCATGTCTCTTGAAAAATCGGATTTAGAGGTAGTTCAAGTCTATTTTAGAGGTGTAAGATAGAGGGCAAATTATCTGCGATGGGCAATAACTGTTGAGCATATCCACGCATTGTACTTTCTTTAGAATATGAGTGCAGGAACAATGTACTCTACCAGTCAACCAAACTTGACTATAGTGCTCACAGTGGCAACTACATATTGATCGATTCGAGCTCCTGAAGGCATTCGATATTTCAAGGGTATTCAGAAATGGAGGCAAAAATCGATTGTCAATATATTTACTTACGGATTTTGATTTTTAGCGAAACGAAGTGTTTAAGGTCTGAAAACCGACACGCCAACTCACTTGTAACACCAACCCAGACAAGTATTTAAACTCTTCACACTCTTTTTTATAAAAGATGGGGAAGTTGTGAAAAGCATGAACTACATTTACTGGCACACTAACAAGTGACCGCACTGAAAGCTGAGGGGTGAAAACTACGTGGAGAGAGGCTTGTCGGTCAGTCGATCAGTATAAACTGATCGATAAATATTTTTGGTGGATGAAGCATACGTGTCTGAACGAGCTCACGTTACTTAAATTTTGGAGGAAGAAAACAAGTCACGCGAATGATGCATTCGTTTTATCTATTAGGCATTCCTAGAGCATCTTCAGCAGTAGGTTTTATCCAAAGTATTTTATTTTATTTTAACGCGCGTCATTGAGACACAGTATGCCCCAAAAGTCGAACGTTCAGAGGAAAGTTTGTGGACCACATTGGTTTATTTTTATCCATATAAATAGGCTCAACACAACCAGTATTTTACCATAAATCTCCGGTCGTACTCAATAGGACTTCCTGAAATTAAAACCTCCAACAAAAACCTGCGTCGGAATTTTCCCCATAAATTTTGTCCAGGTCCTAACCTGCTACATGTACAATAGAATCGCCGTTAAGACTTACCGCTGGAGATGCCTGTCGGGCGGCACTGTTTACTTACTGACGACAAAGCAGATGATTAGTCACTTAACCGCGTGACGGCAAAAATGTTGAACATATTGACGTCACCCGTTTACTTTCCGAAGTATCAGCTCCAACCGTTTGTCGAACGAGCTTATCAGTGTTAAGCGCGGTCAGGACAGCGCACATGCAGTTGCTGCAACGAACCATGCAGTATGGACTTTAAGGTCGTTTGGTTTACACTAAATCCACATTGGTCTGGACTGATTTGTTACAAAAAAATTCTAAAAAGACTTTTTTTCTTTACGGGACACTGGTGTAGTATTATTGCTTACACTAGTACTGGATAGGAAAATGGGGCATTGACGCTTGGTAAAAGCGGTGTTATGCATGATCATTGTGTTCACGTGCGGACCAAATTAACGCTAACGGGTACAGAAGCGACATGATCGCCTTGCCCTGAGATCTTTCTTCATCGTCGATTCCCAACATCAGAGTACCCAGCTATTAATAAATGTTGCACTTAGAGCATCCCTCACAAGGATGAAGATTCCGTATATGGAGATCGTATCTAGAGATCTTACTCTACGAGGTTGGTTTTGTTTTACTCTTAGTCTTTAGATATCATGGGGCTTTTTTTTTCAAAGGCACTCGTTATTTAGACAGACTGGGTAACAAGCGACAGTGCATTTTTACCTAATTATAACCGATTGGAGTGCCCGAATATGCCAGACTAGCAAAGAGCCGGACATGTCATCACTCGTTGTGTCCCCGAAAGTATACGTATAACCGGAAGTTTCTGGTGAGCTCTTAGCGTTTAACTCACATGACACGAGGCTAGCGCTTCGAGAAGCGCACTCACGTGGCATAATGTAGTGAACAAGACACATAGATAGAAAACGTAGCGACATGCAACCATTTAATGATCAAAAAACACTGGCAACTTGTTGTGTTAAATGCACATGCAAAGGTATCGATAGCGAAGGTACTGAAGCTCCTTTCTACTCAGTAGACTGAGAGTATTGGCGCCAGCAAAAACCTCAAAAGCTAACAGCATATACATGCCACAATTGTAGCTGTCGACCTGCACTCCAAGCTCACTAAGATACAGTCGAACTCGGTACTTTCTTGGAGCAAAATCTGGCAGCATTGTCACCAACTTGTCAGCGAGGGGTCGAACTTTTGATCCATAGCTTGAATTCATCGGATCGTAGATTAACACGTCCTTGCATGTCAGGTCTATCATGATTGAACACCAGTGGTTCTTGCCGCAAATTACTGGAATTAAAATCTTCTCACCCGTCGCCCCAAGTAGCACACTCTTCATTGTATCCACCGGCAAGAAGCCATTCATAACGTTCCCTGCGATGGAGGTATCGATACCAATCGTATCGACCCTTTCCGCGAATAGCTTCTTTAAACGCTTCGCACTGGAACTGGGGCCACTTCCGTTTTCGGAAGCTTTTAATTTGCGAACAAGATTGCGGACGTCCTGCGGGGTGGGGTTGCTGTTTGAATTGTCCTTGATAAACTTGAGAATGCTTGTCTTTTTAGCGCCAGCCTTACGGAGCTCCTCCACAGTCTTCAACGCAGTATCATACAGCGAGACACGCTTGGAAGAGTGGCTTTTGAAAGCGTACTCGTTCAAAGTGTGGTTGTGTTCAAGCCGGCACTTGGTGATCATGAGCGCAAACGTGTGAGTGTTTTTGTTAATCTCTTGAACGCACAAATTAATCTGTAAGCGAAATACAAGACAAAAAATGTAAATATATCAGCAACCGTGGAAAACTGTAACTATCTAATGAGCCCGATCTTGCCCGATTGAGTTTGGCATGACCCGATTGAGTGTGGCTAAACCAGAACCAACCCGACTTGTGCACACCAAGAGTGCAAAAGTTACAACATACCTGGGCAGAGCATCCCGAGGCCCGAGTCTCCTGTCGAGGACGTTTACTTGTGGCTTGTGATTGATACTTACCATAATGCGTACAAACGTAGGTTTTTGCGTAATTCTCCCACTCGGCGGAGAGCTTGGACGCTGAAGAGCCTTGGGCATCTATCCTGCCATTGCGCACGGCGACAGAGGTATTGGTCCGCACCCGGAAGATCTGGTAAGCAGAGGATGTGACCTTAAGTATTATGTAATAAAGTAAGATCTTGATAACGTGCTTGAAACGACTGGGCTTGGTACTTCGCTAGGTAAATTTCGAACTCTTCCCACGAGCGAAACTGCGTCTCTCCCGGCGGTGGGGCGATGACGCAAATTTGACCGGACTCCTCGCTTGCGCTACTTGTGGTCCCTGTCATCTCCACACGAGGCGGGCTTGGAGACGGCTGCCACTCACTGATGAGCCGTCGGATGCGTTGCTGTCGTTGTCGACGTCGATGTCGTCCGCCGACAGGGGGCGCTTTTGAGCGTTGCGCAGCCGCGGCGGCATCTTGCTTCCTCAGGAGCCACGCGTTTTCTGGAGGGGGAGAGGATTTTTGTGGTTGACGGGTATACGGCCTGTATACGCTATACCCAGTACGGATATGGTAGAATATAGCAAATCGGAAGATAATGAAGGATTTGCTGGGAGTGGAGTGCTCCCAGTCTGTCAAAATACTCACTTCCTTTTTCAAATCAATGCTCTGCAGTTTGATCCTACAATTCACGACTACTCGACATGTCTTGAGTGCTACGGTCATCAAAGCCAGATTTGTGTGCGATTATGCGTGCTTTACAGCAACATTGGCGCTTGGCATTCAGCATTCGTCATTTCACCTTTGCCATCCGTTGTGAATAATGTCGTCGGCCACATTAACAGCAGTCACCCTTGCCTTGAAGTCTTTTCCTGCCGTTGTTGTCTTGGACCATGTTGTTGAATGCATCTCCTCTCTTTTGGACGGATCAATTATGATTCCCTTGGACGAGGCTTGCTTGACTGGATCAACTCGACTGCTGAATAGAATTTGGGAGAGCAGTGATCCGAATGCGGAAAAATCCACGAGTTGGTCGCCATGCCAGCACTTGCGAACGGATGTTTACTACTGTCAGTTCCAGTTCACTAAATCTCTCCGGGCAGCAGTTGGACGTGGAGATTTGGGCGTTGTGAAGTGGGTTCTAGACCACTTTTCAGGTTGTACAGCGGGTGTAGAAGTGGTCGAAGAAGCGGCGCGCCATGGTCAACTGAAAATTTTGCAGTATTTGTTGCAGTATGGTCATTGTGGAGATCGTGCAGTGGACACGAAGAATATTATTCTCTGGGGTGGTGATGACTTGGTTAATGCCATCGCAGAAGGGCATGGACACATGGGGCGATGGTTGTACGAAAACACCCCTGACACTCGGCGGAACTTGGAGACTGCGATGAGCTATGCAGTGAAGCAAGGCGACAGACCGTTAGTTCAGTGGCTTATAGACGTTGTGTACGAAGCGGAACCATTGCTCCTGCCTCCATCGATGGATGACGCTGCAGCTGGAGGTCACATGGAGCTGCTGCAGTGGATTTACGAGCAGGGATACGGTGGTTGCTCGGGCAATGCACTCGAGGCAGCAGCGAAGAATGGAAGACTGGACATGGTACAATGGCTCGTGGAGAATAGAGTCACGAAAGGGGCTAGAGAAGGCGTACGAGCGGCTTGTGGTGAAGGACATCTGAATGTTGTGCAGTGGCTGTTGGAGCGTGTTGACGTCCAGTATCCCCATTTTGCAATGAACTGCGCAATTCGTCAAGGTCACCTGGACATTGTCAAGTATCTTTGTAAGGTTGGAATCGTGAATGAACCTTCGCTCATGGTAATTGACGCTGCTTCGAATGGCCACGTGCATATGATAAAATGGTTTTTGGAGAACTATGGTACTGAAGATCTTTTTCCGACGGTCGATCCTTCTCGAGTCGGACCGTCGAGCCAAACTGTGATGGATAGAGCGGCAAACAATGGACACTTGCACATCCTAGAGCTCCTTCACTCTGTTGCTGTCGAAATGCAAAAAGAAGGAAAGAATGGGGCGCCTACATGCACGAACTGGGCTCTGGAGTCGGCCGCCATAATGGGTCATCTCGAGGTTGTGAAGTGGCTGCAGACCCATTATACGGACTTGTGCTTTTCTTCCTCCACTACCAGTATGGTAGCTCGCAACGGCAACCTCAAGATACTACAATGGCTCCACCGGCGAGATGACGTTGAGTGGTCCACTGGTGTTATGGATTCTGCTGCTGAAAATGGGCATCTTGCAGTGGTAAAGTGGCTACATGTGAATCGCAGTGAAGGCTGCACGACCAGTGCTATGAACTTTGCTGCAGCTAATGGCCATCGTAAGGTTGTGCAGTGGCTTCATTTTAATCGTACAGAAGGCTGCACAGTCGATGCGATGGATTTTGCTGTTGGGCGAGAGCATTTTGAAGTTCTGCTGTTTCTACGAGCGAATCGCACTGAAGGATGCACGACTACCGCCAAGATCCTCGCTCGAGAGCATAAGCAAAGGCATATGTTAGAGTGGTTAGAAGATCAATATCCAGAGTCAGGCTAGAGAGGGTGAAGGTAATTCGTGCAATTCATGAGTACGAAAGAATTGCTCGTCAGGTTCTTTATAAAAGTAAAGAATGCTGGAACTATCCAGGAGCCTGTAGGTGTTGATGTTGGCATAGATCATGCATAGAGGTTGCTAATTCCTTCTTTCGTTATAAGGTAATCGGTAGCAGACCTTGGGATTCCATTGGGCAATCGCGTCACTGCTCATGAAACTTGCGGACTGCGCATATTATGCAAGTTTTCACTATTTACGGGCAAACATTTCAAAGCTGTAAGAAAGATATTCTGTTTCGAAGGATGTACCGCTGAAACTGGTACATCATCTCACTGGCTTCTCTCCCATTCATCATTCTCCAAAGAAGCAGCTCCCCCTCGCTAACGATGGCAACACCTCCCGAGAAGGTGCCGCGTCCGCGCACGTCCTTCACGAACGCGCAGCGTCTGCAGATCTGCAACCACAAGGAGCAGAACCCCACGATCACGCAGGGTCAATTGGCCACTTGGGCTCAAGAGGCGCTAGATCTGCCGCGTAAACCTTCACAAGCCATGATCTCCAAACTCCTCAAAAGGAAACCCGACTTGGAGAGTATGACAAACGAGGAGTTGGTCTGCAAGTCACGTCGTACGGTGCGGTTCCCGAACCTGGACACGGCCCTGGCTCGATGGGTGGCGTACTGCGAAGAGACCGGAGTCCCGGTCACGGGGGAGTCCATCCGAACCAAAGCCGCGAGGTTCGCTGAAATCCTCCAAATCGACTCCCCGCTCACTTTTTCTAACGGATGGCTCTACAAATTCAATGAACGCCACGGATTTGGCGGTCAAAAAGGTCAGAAAGGAAACAAACAGTCCTTGGAGCAAACCGTGAGCGATCTGCAACGTCGACTGCGCAGCTTTGAACCGAATGATGTGTTCAGTATGGATGAAACGGGGTTGTTCTTCACCATGTTCCCGGATCGAGCGGGTAGAAGAATGACGAAAAGGCTGACAATTGCTTTATGTTGCAATGCTGACGGGTCGGAGAAGTTGCCTCCTTTGTTCATTGGCAAGGCCGAGAAGCCGAGAGGATTCACGAATTCAACAGCTTCAGAGATGAACTATTTGAACAACGCGAACACGTTGATGACGCGCGAGATTTTCAGCAATTGGCTTAAGGATGTGGACGCCAAGTTCGGTGAGCAACAACGTAGATGTGTTCTTCTCATTGACAACGCAGCGGTTCATGCCGGGTTCAATGCTGAAGAGTTGAGGAACGTCGAGGTGGTACTTCTTCCGCCTGGTACTCCTATCAACTTGCAGCCAATTGCTGCTGGGATCGTTGCAGCTTTTAAAAGACGCTACCGACGACGTCAGATCCAGCACGCACTGGACCAGCTTGATGCTGATGCTGACATGAGTACTGCTGCCAAGTTCGACAGCGTTGGAGTCAAGCAAGCTCTGTCCTGGTGTCTCGAGTGTTGGGATGCAGTTCCCTCCTCGTTGATCGCTGGCTGTTGGTATGAGACCGGGCTGGTATACGCTGAGAGCCCCACTTTTCCTCTTGAATATCATAGTGTGGAAGACCATATCTCAGAGGAACTGGCGGTGATGCTGTCCTGGTTACATGCTACCAACCCGTTAACAGTGGAGGAACTGCTCAACTTGCCAGAAGAGAGCGTCATTATGGATGAGCCTACGGACGAAGATTTTTGTGCGCCTGTGGAGTCTGCGAAGGTTGTTGTGCAGCAACCGAAACCCAAACCAGCAGACGATGGTTTGAGTGTTGAGGAGCTGAAAGAGCGTCTGAAATGGATCGCCAAGCTGCTCATTTATGCTGACGAAAAGGGTGTTTCAGCGGAATCGGTGAGTGGAATGCGCGTCCTACAACGAGACTTCCGTGACCAGCTGAACAAGAAACAGTCAGGCAACTAGGTTGACAAAAGCAACCGCACATGTATATCCGTTCCATGAAGGTTTTCAGCTGACAAATCCCCCATTTACCAGTGAAATACGCAAACTTCCAAACCTGAAGATCTTTGTAAATCTGAGGTGAGTGGTTGAAGTTGTGGATTGTCAAACAGGATTTGCCAGTACAGAATGAATCCCTTGCTACGTCATTCCCGAATTCGCCCTCCAAGACGCAAGATCTCCGTAGAACCATGAACAACCACAAATACATGGATGCTTTCGACCACGACGTGGTTAAACGCAAGGCGGATTTCCTTCACAAAGTGGCTCAAGTGTACGGAAAAAAAAATCATTTCCATCGTCTCTAGTTAAAGAATCTCACTTAAACCATTTGTCTTAGGCGGGGTTTGATGCAGGAGCTCAAGCATGACGCTGTCGTGCTGAGTCTTTCCGCCAACTTTGCTTGGATCACAAGTGGGGCTCGCAGTTACGTCTTCATGGCCACAGAAGGTGGAGCAGGCTCAATCTACGTAGACTCCACGCAAGTGGCAGTGCTGACGAATGAGATCGAAGGTCACAAGTTAATCAACGAAGAGATGCGAGGTCTAGAAGACGAAGTTACACTCGTGCAAGATCCGTGGTATGCTCAACGCAGCCACACAGACATGGCCAAGGAGCTCTCAAAGAGCGACAGCATCGCTGTCGACGTCACCAACTCTGAACTATCTGGTCGTCTGGCAGAACTACGCTCTACATTGACAGAGTACGAGCTGGAAGTCTTCCGTGCTCTTGGCAAAGACTGCGGTGAGATCATTGGACAAGTGGCTCGTGCTGTACGTCCCACTATGAGTGAATGGGAGATAGCTGGACAACTATCGACCAACATGTGGGCACGAGGGATCACTCCAGTTGTGATGCTGGTAGCTGCAGACGAACGTATTGACACTATCCGTCACCCTTTACCAACCAAGAAACGTGTGAAGAACAAGGCGATGCTCGTGATCTGCGGGCAACGTGCTGGTTTGATCGCCTCCACTACGCGTCTTATGTATATCACAACGACTCCGAACGCTAGTATCCCGGACGACCTAGTGCGTCGCCATGAAGCTGCTACCTACGTTGACGCAGTACTCATCGCTAACACACGCCATACCGGAGTCAAGGCTGGAGATATGCTCAAGTTGGCGCAAGATGCGTACGCTGAGAAAGGATTCGATGGTGAATGGAAATTCCACCATCAAGGTGGCTGTGCTGCCTACAAAAGTCGTGAATGGGTAGCCAACCCGTCGATCAATCGAGTTACGGGCTTGAACCAGGCGTACGCTTGGAATCCCTCAATAGCGGGCACCAAATCTGAAGACACGGTGCTCTGCTACAAGAACAAAGAGGGTGAAGTGGTCGTAGAAGTCACCACATCTTCGCCGGATTGGCCGATGATTGAACATACTATAGGAGACTTGACAATCGCTCGTCCGAAGATTCTACACCTGCAGTTTTAAACAACCTGAAGAAATGTTTTTTTTTTTACTTGCAAAAATGTTAAATACAGCGTTATAACTGCGTTTAAATCTCCTTACACCGTCTGGACCTCACCAGTGGTCTCAGGAGGTTTCCAGAACAGCGAGAAGATGTTGGTGATGATGACATCAGCCACGTTCATATCCTCTTCGTCTTCAGTTGTAGTCTGTGGTGGCTCAACTGGAACTCGTAGCTGCTCCAAGTCGACGACTGTACCTTCGTCGATTAAAACCTCTTCGTCAAGGTGATCAGACACAGAAGACCCGCTATCGCTAAGTGGTGTAACTTGAAGAGGAGGCATCGCACGTTGTGGACGGTTTAAATCTCGCTTGAATGTGAGCGTCAGCGGTCGCAAACCTCCTTGGAGTAATAGCATCACATGTCGGAATGGAGCGGAATCCACTGCGTTCTTGTTTACAGCGACCAGTTCGTCAAATGGTTGCAGTACATTCTTCTGCTCAGCAGCCATATCGTGCAATAAACTCCTAACTGTAGCTCCTGAGTCCGGTATATTCGCTTGGAAATGGATACCGATAGGTCCACTCTCCTCAAACACTACGTCGAAATACTCGACGCCTTCTTCCGTTCTGGGAATATCTGCGTTCACAGCAGTCGAATTGGATCTAGACGCACGGGACTCTGCTGTCGTAGCGCTTGAGTTGCGAACGAGAGGCTTCTGAGACGCTAAAGAAGCTGTCGTTCCCAGTAAACGTGGGTCTGTCCACGTCGTGGTGGACGTGTACTTGTTAAAGAAAAACACAGCACCTGAAGCTGTCACCCGCATCTCCCATCCAGCAGGTAATGGGGTGGAGAAGTCTTCGATCGTGTGTTTTCTTCCGTCATCTGGAGGGACGTGAATGTCCTCGAATACGTTGCTATCGTGAGAAATGTGTGGCGTGGAGAACGAGCGACGCATCACGTTGTCAGGAGCTGCGTAGTCCCGTGCCATCGCGCTGATACCCCGAGGACGCTGCGTACTACTGGAGCTAGTAATCTCGGTCGAAGTAGGGATAACGTCCTTGTCACCTGATCGTGAACGCTGTTGGATCGCTATAGCGACACGTGGATCTTCCAGCTCATTGCCTTCATTGCCTTTCTTTCGGTAGCATGTAACACCTTCCGTCGTCTTTGTTCGCTCATATTCCACTGGTAGCTCGATATCGCTACACAGAGCATCAATCTCGCGTAATTTTACATCCAGAGCACGTTCAAACTTCTTCTGCTTCTCTGCAGCAGCTTCCTTTTGTTGTGCTAATTGGTCCTTCAATTTTGCAACCTCAGCTTGACTGGCTTGCAACTCTTCCTTCTTATCCTGCAACTGTTGTCGCAATAACTTGGCAATCTCATCAGTTCGACTATTGCCATTGACACTTCCGTTCAATTCCTCTTTGTAAGAATTCTTCTCAGCATTCACCTTGTCCACAAGAGTTTGAGAAGCCTGCAACTCCAGTCTCAACTGGTTACTCACAAACTGCACGGCATCATCCGACAATTTCCCAGCTAAAAACACACGAGACCCCAGTACTTCTGCCAGTTTGGCAATAGCAATTTCAGCCTCACGTTTCTGTTGTAACAGCTGCGTCACTGCTTCACTCAATTTGTCCACAACTGGCTGTGGTCCTCTTGCATTTGTATCGCCTGATACCAATTCTTCCCAGATCTGAGCCAGTTGAGCGTCTACGATATCCATCATACGTCCATTGGTCTTCAGCAACTGCATAAAGTCCGTCCAGCTCTTCTCACTGTGATTGCCTGACAGTGGCTGGTTTACTTTCAATTCTGAAGGGGGTAGAGGCCCAATACTGAAGGTGCTGAGTCCACTCACGATACTACTGGGTGGAGGAGAGCTTGGAGGTGGCGGAGGGGGCGATTGATCTTCTAGTTTAGTGCCAATCGAAGGAGCTTCGGCTGTAGTGATCGATTTCATGGTCGGCGAGTGATATTCTAGTGTAGAATATTCTCCATTAGAGGGATGGAAGATATTCACGGTCGTGTTTGGACTGTCGGGTGCCTGAGCGTGTGACACCTCTGGTGAGTCATACTCTCCGCTCTCCAACCACTGTTTCTTCTGGCTTTGATATGCCTGCAGAAGCACTCGTCCCCGCGCGATTAACTGCTTCTCGGAAAGCATATTACTGGCTGGAATCGAAGTGTTTGTGTCTGATTCTGATGGTGGGATCAGATCTGAGTCGCTTGCTTTGACGTCATCGTCTTCACTGACGTCGCTGGAGCTCTGGATGGCGGAGAACGGGATCGGGAGGTGCGCCGATGGGGCCTCAGAAGCAGGGGAGGATAGAGACAGCGGTGACACCGAAGGAGGATAGCTCGGATGCCCTTGGGGCAGCGGCGCAGACTCTACGAAGCGCTCCATGCGATGATGAACAGAAACTGATTCTCACTTTGATTAGGGTTTGAAAATTATGTGGACCACAGAATGGTATTGTCGCTATGTCGCAGAGGTAAGCTAAAAGTCTACTGAACGAACTCACCCGTCCTTATCCAGGATTACTTTGTTGTATATCTACTTATCTGAAGCGCGATACACTTCGAGAAGTTTCTGATTCGCCATGTATTAGACAGAACAGCTTCACTTTTATCGCTTTCGGTAATTGACATCCGTTGTTATCTTGGAGAAGTTGGCGAGGAACTCTATCAAGATGAGGACATAGAACGCTTGATATACGGTACCAAGTTCACGTGTAGGGGGTAAACTTGTGTGGTGAAAGTGCAAGTAAACCATTTTCCCCATTTTTCCGAGCCAAAATTCGCAACCACAAAGAGTTCTCAACTGGAATACTGTTTTGTCACAGGAACATCGCGAGTGAATGCATGATGGCGAGACTGGGTTCGGGATGCATTGAATCTACGAAGATGTAAGCTTTAAAGAAAAGAATTGCCAACACTATTTTATTTTGGATTAGCCTTCACGTCCGAAGACAATCCAGTTCAAGTTGCAGTTCACAGTTTAATAATGCAGCGCACCAACTATTGGCGACACCGTCTACAAAAAACAACTCGAACGAAAATTGATGGGAATCTGCAACGAGAGGCGGTTTAGACAAAGGATTCCTGTCGGGCATGTGGGCACTCCTGAGGACAATAAACGAGAGCAACACTTCACGACGGCGAATTCTCGAGAAAGCGTACGTTAAGAATTGGGCAACTGTGCTAGGTCGCCTAGCTACGTGAAATACTTAGTCGAGGTTTGCATACACCCTCCTGGTACATTCTATTCAGCATACTTTGAATGTCATGCAACCCCACCCGTCTACTGTAGTGTATTTCGCGTAGAGCTGTGCAGCAAAGCACTTTTCTGCGATGACTCAGCACTGATGAGCATCAGGATGCAGAAGTGCAGGGACCATAAATGTCGAGTTCGAAGGTATATAATACATGTATCGACACTTGTGAAGCCGATCAAACAAGATGGCGCTGCTTCCAAAGCAGAATCTGCACCATTTGCGCCACCCACCACCGAAAGCGAACGCAATCGCGTGGATTGCAACTTGTCCGAACGGCAGCGTCTCATTGGTCAACGTCTGCCCGCCATCGATTTCGCGCTAGTTCTTGTGGCGCTCCGTTCGTCGTGTTCTCTACATCAAAATGTTACCTTCGCTTCTCTCTAAAGTATCGATTCGTCTCGTCGCACGATGTACAGTATACACATGTTACTTAAACCGGTTCAAACCGTGTTTGCGCTTCATACATCTCTCCAGTCAGATCTCCATCCGCCGTCCAGTGCGTAAAGCTCACTACCGCAGTACCATCTCAATGCTGGCCTCTGTGCTCCGTTCCCGTGCCGTGCAGGCCTCTGCATGTCGTCGCTTCGCCAGTGTACAGGCTTCTACCCCTACGTCCAAGGCGGTGCTGACGCCGGACGCATCGGCAGAGAAGACCAAGCCCAGTGAGGACGAAGCTCACGATGCGTACCTCCACCGGCCCGTGACGTACCCGCTGGACAAGATCAAGGTGGTTCTATTGGAGAACATCCACCCGCGTGCCAAGGAAGTCTTTGAGCGCGAAGGGTACACAGTGGAGACCCACAAGCGCGCGATGTCGGGCGAGGAGCTCGCACGGGTCGGCGGTGACGCGCACATCTTGGGCATCCGCTCCAAGACGCAGCTGGATCCGGACTTCTTCAGCACTGTAGGCTGGCACGAGCACCGTCTCTGGGCTGTTGGATGTTTCTGCATTGGCACCAACCAGGTAGCATTGCCCGCTGCTGCTGCTACAGGCATCCCGGTGTTCAACGCGCCGTTCTCGAACACTCGTTCGGTGGCAGAGAAGACGCTGAGTGAGATCATTGCACTGCACCGCAAGCTGTTCTTACGCTCCACTGAGCTCCACCAAGGCATCTGGACCAAGTCAGCTACTGGCGCTCACGAAGTGCGTGGCACGACGCTCGGTATTGTTGGATACGGACGCATTGGCTCTCAAGTGTCGGTACTGGCCGAACTGCTCGGTATGAAGGTGGTATTCTACGACCCTGTTAAGTGTCTGCCACTGGGTAATGCCCGTCAAGTGGATACACTTGAGGAGCTGCTCGGTATGGCCGACGCCGTAACCCTTCACGTACCTGCTACCTCTACCACTAAGAAGATGATCAACCGCGAGACTATCGCTCAGATGAAGGACGGTGCACTGCTGGTTAATAACGCGCGCGGTACAGTAATCGACATTGACGCAGCAAAGGAAGCTGTAGAGAGCGGCAAGATCGCGGGTATGGCTGTGGACGTGTTCCCGAAGGAACCGGCCAAGAACGGCGAGCCGTTCGACACGCCTCTGCGTGGTTTGCCCAATGTGATCCTTACGCCTCACATTGGTGGCAGTACGGAGGAAGCTCAGGGTAACATTGCCGTGGAGGTGGCCACTAAGCTGGTGCGTTACATCAACGACGGCTCCACGACCACGTCCACTAATACGCCGGAGATCGATATGTTACCGATCCGTAACAATTCGATGCGCATCTTGCACATGCACCAGAATGTGCCTGGTGTGTTGAGTAAGATCCACTCGGTGCTGTCCGACTACGGCATCAATGTGACGTCGCAGTACCTGCAGTCCGATCCTCGTCATGGCTACATCGCGCTAGAAGTGGAGAAGTTCCACGCCAAGGTGGTGACGCGCGAGTTGGAGAAGATCAAGGAGACCATCTTCCTACGTACCATCATTTAAATCATGATCGTGGAAGAAAGCAGGGCAGCTAACCCAAAAACGAAGAAGTATGTGAACCATGACGCAGGCGCAATTGATGGAGGTGAGAGTGTACCTTGACCCTCCTGTTGGCAACTTGGTAGATAGAGCACTTCCCATAGAGATAACAATACCAACATCCCAATACAATACCCGCCTGCAGCGTCGTTCCACCTTCCAGTCGGGAACACTAGGCTACCTTCTTGACAACAAGCTACTGCAGTAGTTTAACTGCTTCTTCACCTATTGAAGTACTAGTGATATACTACTACTAATGTAGTAATAGTAAAATGAAGCCTAGGCTTCGACTGTTTGCTGCTGTACTCCGTCATACCACAAGCAAAGTGTTAACATACGAGTAGTAGCCATTGGAGTCGGTCGAATGGTGGCGTGCAAGGCCTCCGCTTTTGCTTCATTAATAAAATCAAGGCGTGTTTCCTGCGTCATACTCCACCGGATCGACCGTGTCTTTTTCTCTCGTCGAGGGCAGGCCGTTCTCTCAATCTCACTCAGTTGCTAGTCCACAGGATAGTCGCGAATTTAAGCCGAGGCGTCGTCGCGGATCTTGCGAAGACGAGCCAGAGTCGAGCGCACCGTAGCGGCCGAAGCCGTGTTCAGCAGGTAGGCGCCACCGGCGATGGTCTTGTGGCACGAGCGGCACTCCCAGATGCCGGTCACGTTGCGCTTGATCGAGTCCTTGCCGCAGAACACGCAGTTGTACTTGGCGTGCTGCGAGATTTCGATCTTCTTGACCACCTTACGGAGCGACGAGCCGTAGCGCGTGCCGTACTTGCCGCAAATGCCAACCTTTTTCGTGCGCTTGCCCTACAATCAGCCACAACCATAGCGTCAGCGACCTGTGCATACATCTCAAATGTAGGAATCCCGCCAGTTTGCTGCTACTGGGTGCCCGCTTCGCCCCGCAATTCCTGTTTGTCTGTCTGTATCTGTATGAGAATCCCTGCACTTTGTCGCCTGATTCCGTCGCGTCCAAGAGGCTATTAAGCGCGCAACCGACACGGTTGAAGAAAGGAGAGCGAGGGGAAGCGGGTGCACCTAGGTAGACTGCATGTAGCCAAGAGTACACAGCGAGAGCTCACCATTTTAGCCTTTTGAGATTATCCGGAGAGAAATCGACTTTGAAAAGTGAAGAGCTCCTGCGCTCCAAAACAGCAGCGCAGCCAACGATTGAATGGCCCAAGCGAACCGCCCGACTTTCCACCAATCCAGAAGATGTAAAGGAATTTTAACCAATGGCGCTTACTTATTGTTATTTAACGTGGTCCACATCAACATTAGTGTGGCGTACCCTAAAAGGTCGCATGCCAAAATTGAAACGGTGCCATAGGAAATGGTCGACGCACTTTGGACGCAGCGTAGTGCCTCTCCACGGCGGACATGATCGGCCGCAAACAGCGCAAACGTACGTGCTGTTCTCGCGCTTCCTGGTCATGTTAAGATATCGCATTAGCACGACGTGTAGACCACGAAAATTGCAACTGACCCACTCCTCTATCGTGATCTCAGGTGTGATCTACGTCGATGGCATCCCGATCGAGTCCACAGTATTTGATTCCAGGGAATCCGGGCTTAACGGCGAAGAGAAGAGTGACCCAGCGTCCTTAGCTGCGCTGGATCCGCAAACTGTACGTATTTAATGACAGCAATAAAACTAAATCGGAGACTAACTTCTTCTTTTTTTTACGCAGTTATTCGACAAATACGACGCGGATGGATCCGGGGATATCGATTTTGAAGAGTTCAAAGTGCTGCTGCATGACTTAAGTGTGAACCTCACGGAGCCCAAGGCCCGCGCGTATTTCCGACGCTGTGACCGTCGTCGACGAGGTTGCATCTCGTTCGACGAGTTCCGATTAGCGCTATACACTTGCGACCCCAAGAATCCCGGTCGAACAGGAGGCTTTGCTCCAGGCCAGTCATTGGCACCCAAAGATTTGTTCGAAATGTTTGATAAAGAAGAAGAAGGTGCGATTGACAGAGCCACATTCATGGAATTGCTCGAATTCATTGGACGTAAAATGTCATTGGACAAGATGGAAGAGCTCTTTGCGACCTATGAAGACGTAGGTGTTCTGCTATGACCGTGTACCTATAATGAATGCTGAGTTATGCTCTGTTTTAAACAGCCAGAGCTGGAAATGCTGCCGTATCTGCAGTTCAAGAAGGCGTGGATTGCTGTCGTAGACGTACAAGCCGAACTTCGTCAACGTGGAGAGAAGTTCAACAGATTCTTACCGCCAAAAATGCTGGCTAAGAAGTTGGCAATGCTTGTGAATCTGGAAGAGAAACAAGAGGCCTTGACGCTCTTGGAGGCGAATAATACGCTAAGCGACGAGATCATCGCTTCACAAAGACGAGAGCTGGTGACGGAAGCACGGTGTCTTGCTCGTGTGACGTTGGCCGAGGCGCTGGATGCTGCTGGACAGGTCTATGTCTTTGGAAAGGGAGCATATCAACGCTTCGACTGCGAACCGAAAGACCCCGATTTCGTCGACTTCATGGACTATAACGTCGTACGTGAGATGTGGCAACAACGAGTATGTCCAACAGGCTCCACTGGAGTGAAATTACCCGATAACCAAAAGGAAAACGACCACAAGAAACGTGATAATGACGATAAGCGAGTGTCTCCCGCTAGATCGAAGCTAGAGGCTTCAGTGCGTGCATTTGCGAACCGCCAGGTGTCAAAAGCGACGGCATTTCTATGGGGGAAGCGTGTGAACCAGGTCGCGTGTGGCGCTGCTATCGCCTACGCTTTAACAGATGCTGGTGAAGTGTTTTGTTGGGGTGGCAACAAGCGACAATGGAAATATTTCTACGATGAAGCCACAGCTAACGGAATTACACCCGTTGAAGGCGATCCCAGTGGCTCTGCACTAGCGGAACTCGCTAGATTTGGTGCCAAACGAGACTCTAGCTTACTGAAAAACCCTCTCACAGTGCGAAGTGAGATGCTGCGACTATTTGCTCTTCCTTCTCAAGTCACAGAAAGCCAAGAAGTGCAAGATAAACTTGGTCTCCGTCAAAAATACGCGAAGGTATTCGAGAAACCAGTGCCATTGACGCTCACTGATGAAGACAGACGTAGAAGACTGCAACTTGTGGGTCAGTATTATGGTTTATTAAGTGCTCCAGTACCTGGAAAAGGAATGAGGTCGCTGGACGAATTAATGGAGACGGTGGAGCCTGATCTGGATGTGGACAATTTGTCATTGTCACTCTTTGTACGAGGCGTAGAAGTCCCCAAACCGACGCGAGTGGCTCTGTTAGAGACACTAGGAGAGTGTCTTGAGCTCGAGAGAGAGTGTGTTGGCGAGAAATTCCACGAGCACATGAAGCAACAAGACCAGCTAGCAAGAAATCATCGTAAAGAGCGGCGTGAAAGGGGCATGATGAGCGTAGTGGTCAAGGCTAATGCACTGTGGTTTGACCTTAACGAACTTCGTGAAAAAATGGCTACAGCTGAGAAAGAACGCCTTATTAAGGGTGACGAAGAATATGACAATATGAGGCGAAAAATCACATATACTACTCAAAAACTCAAGCGACGAGCACGTGAGGGACATTCTGCAGTTGTCGCTGTGGATAATAACAGCGACAAGACAGAAGATCTGCTGTATATCAATGGATTAACTGCACGAGGCCCTGCGTTTAAGTTTTTCGACGGCTCTCAAGCTCTTCAGAGTATCGCGGTGGGATCTCGCCATGCATTGGCTATTCATTCCACTGGGAAGTTATATACGTGGGGAGTAGGCTCGTTCGGACGCTTGGGAGGCGCTCAAAACGCTGACTATAAGAGAGATCGAAGCAACAATGAGATCGACGATGTTCCAGTGGATTCGTGGCACCAAGACGCTCATTCAGCGCAAGTTATTCCAACTGTACGTCATCTCCGGTTTCGAGCGATTTCGTGTGGATTCGGCCATAATTTAGCGCTTACTACTGATGGAACTGTATATGCTTGGGGCTCTGCAACACACGGTAAGCTCGGTATAGGTCCGGTTCAAGTCAAAGAGAGCTTCACTCTGGCTCCTATGGCTCTCTCTTCGTTAACTAGTCTCGGTGTTCGTGTACGAAGAATCGCCTGTGGACCATCACACTCAGCTCTTCTGACAGTAGATGGCTTGTTATTTGTATGGGGATGTGGCGACGGTGGACGACTGGGGCTCGGAGACGACAGAGACGTCGGTGAAGATCGGATTCCACGCAATGGTGGGCAACTTAAAGTGATCCCAACTCCTACACGTGTAGTTGAGCCTTTTCAGCAGGAAAAGCTGGTGGAAGTAGCGTGCGGAGCAGCACATACAGTGGTGCTAAGTGCGATTCATAGAGATAGTGGTGGATGTGTCTACGTGGCCGGGAGTAACTATGCCTTGGAAAAATTCACACCGCGATTTACTCGCGTAATAGTGGGAGAAACTTCGCCAGTGATGACGATTAAAGTGAGTTGTGGGCCGGCACATACGGCGTTTGTATCGACAGAAGGAGAGCTCTACTCTTGGGGAAAGAATGTCAGTGGCAGTACAGGGCATGATGTGAATTTGACTATTATTTCACGACCGACACGTGTTGGTTGTATGTTTGAGCGTCCACGAAATTTGTGTCTTGACGAGACTGTCATTGCCACTCAAAGTAGTCAAAATGCAAGTGCTATAGCGGAGTACGCACTGGGTGGGGAACACGCAAACGAAGCTCTAAAGAAGCGACAAACTCGACGTTCAAGTGGACAAAACATGACAAAATTTGCTCAAACTCAGCACGAAATGTGTCCATTCTGGCAGGTTGAGTTGGCTGAACGCAGTCGAATTGTGTCAATTCGAGTCGTTTCAGTGCCTTGCGGCGTTGAATCGGCCAGATTGGCTGCATTAAAGTATGCTATTATGGTGTCTGAGGACGCATTCGATCCAGAACTTCGAGGCAAACAGGCTCTTGCTAAGGCCAGAGGACATAGTGTCCACGCGTCACTGAGCTCTAGTACTCAGAGTGAACTTGTATGGACAGCACCAGATGATACTTTCGGGACATTTGTTCGAGTTCAGCTTGAGAGCGTCGGCGGGGCTGGGATGTTGACGCTGGAGCGTGTTGAAGTGTTCGGTGCATCCAGCGAGCAGTATGTGGGTCCTCGTGTTAGTGACGTGGTGTGTGCGGAGGGAATGACAGTAGCAATTTGCGCTCCGATTAGTGGGAAGGAAGAGCTGCGCAACAAGTTTCAACGTGCTGTCAGAGCTGATCGCTCTAGTGTTAGTGTGTTGGCTCAACTGGAAACATTTCAGGCTTTTGTGCGAGAAGAAGAGCAGCAAAAACATGAAGAAGAAGCCTTATATAAGGCTAGTCAGACAGCTAAAACCAGCCTCGAGAAGAGAGAGATAGCGACTGCGATCGCTGCATTAGAGGCTAAACAACGTGCTGAGACTTGCGTGCTGTGTAGACCGAAAGTACCGTGTGTGATCTGCGAACTAGAGAAGCAAGTGCAAGCGGCTAAGAAAACATCGACAACTCAGCCTCCGATTTCCTCGCAAGAACCGAAGATATCAATAAATGACCGCAGGAAACAGCACGGTAAACCGATAGCTTCATCTGCTCCGGCAATTATGACTACACGTCCAGAACAGGCGTTGACGTTGGAAGGTTTGTGCTCCGAGTTCCTTGCCCTTGATATACGGTCTAAAAAAGAGGAGGAAGAAGCTCAACAGCGTGTAGAACTCGAGTTGATGGACCCTGCGGCGCTCGCTCGTGCAAAGCAGGAAGAAGAAGCTGCAAGACTGACACCGAGGCAAGTTATTGTGAATCCTGCTCTGGTAGCGCCGAATATGCGTCGATTATTGCTCAAATTGGTAAACTCGACAGGTTTGCTTGGTCACAGAAATCTACACCAGACGCCGAAGAAAGTTGGCTAAGTGGGTGGTGAAAGAGAGAGATATCCGAGGATGATGATGATGCTGTGGCGTCTGCAGCGGCTTCGACTTCACTGGGCGCTGTTCCAACAAAGCAATGGCTGCTGCTGCATCCAACGATCATGCAGGTAACTTCAAAACGCTGTTGGAGCCGCTCACTCGTGATGATTTGGATAACGCTGTTCGCAACGGCTACCTCGACTTTGCTCAAGGCCGTATGACAACAATCAGAACGCGTTTTTCAGCTAATATTATGAACGGGGTGGTTAGTAGATGTCATCCTACTGTCGTTCAATAGCTTCACTGGAAGAAGCGTGAATTAAGCCGATGGAGTCGGCCGCTAGAAATGGGTGCCTTCTTGTTCACTAGACTTCACATTGAGACTGTTCTCATGGGCGTATACTTCTCGCGAGACTTGCCTGGTAACAATCGTCAGGAGTCACGTGGCAGATTACTGGTAAGGTCTCCCATCAATATTCGAGCCGCAGTAAGACCATCACGAACCCTTCTATTAGCAAACAGCTCATGAGCTGCATTGATAGCCATAATTTGTTACCAGGCAAATTGAAACCTTGAAATTATTGCGGGTTTAGACAGCTAACTAGTGCGGTGTCGAAACGAAGTTATACTTCAACCACTCAGCCATGTCACTAAAAGGAGGTATGGCTGCTTTCAACTGCAAAACCTGATATTCGAAACTCAGATTGAGTTGTTAACCCAAAAAAATCCAAACATACCGTGTCACTTGAAGAAACCATGAAGTGATTCCCTTCATGCCTTTGCAGTGGCTTCTTCGTTGCACAAAGTAGATCACAAGGTCGAGATCCGAGACGATCACTTCCGATTTTCCAGCTTCGTCCTCAACAGCCTCCAAACCTCCACCGCAACGATGAAGATTTTCGTACTTGCCGCAACTGCAATCGCTGCGTTATCGGCGGTTCATGGTGCTGAACAGTCCTCGCTTCATCTTCGTATCCACGCCAAGGGCGGAGCTTGCACGATCACCAACGAGTCCCAGTGTGACGGCCAAAACTGGACCGGTAGCACCTGCTGTGCTGACTCGAACTACGAATGCCGCTGGTCGGACGACGGACAGAACGTCAAGCGCTGCCAGAAGAAGAGAGGCAAGGGGCAGCACCACAAAGACGTTGAGGACGACAGTGACGATGATTCCGACATTGATGGCGATGACGTCGCGAGCGCACTCGGGATTGACCCGGATGACTACGACAACTTCAGCGACTATGACGACTACAGCGACTGGTTTGGCGATGATGACAGCAGCGACTCTGAGGACGACAGCAGCGAGAGCAAGGACGAGGACACCAAACACCACCGAAAGGGACACACCAAGGGTGGGTCGTGCACTATCACGAACGAGTCGCAGTGTGACGGTCAGAATTGGACTGGAAGCACTTGCTGTGCGAATCCGAACTACGAGTGTCGTTGGTCGGACGATGGACAGAACGTGAAGCGCTGCCAGAAGAAGAGAGGCTAAGGCGAATGCAATTTCAAGCTCCATCGCGCTGCGATCTAGCTATTGTATGCGCAGGAATTGGGGATCGGGTTCATGTAGTGCCCACTACGTAGTATATCCAGGTTATTAACAGAAAAATAAGTGGTGTTCAGTGATCAACTGCTGGTTGGAGGTTTTCTTCCGTACTGATTGTTTGTTTATACGTTTGGAAGCACAGCGCTATTGTTTTGAGCCTACATGTGCCCAGTAGGATACCTACTCCAGCCCTTTTCCGATGCCCAGCTCTTACTCAGCGCTCACAGTTCTCTCCAAACTACATCATCTTCCAAAACGTTGCGACCTTCAGATATTGTCGGCTGGTTGCTGAAGCAGTAGATGTACCAAATGTAGGGCTGTTTTGTGCATTGCACAAAAGTACTTTCGTGCATACACTAAGGTTTCGTGCACTTGCATTTAACATTTTACTACGTAAATAGTCCATACTAACAAGACAGCGTTAGTGGACGTCCTGATCGACTCGCAGTGTCAACCAAAGCCCTTCCAAGTAGTGAATATTCTAGGTAGCTTGGAACCGAGAGCTCGCCTTCAACATGCATTTATAGTGAATTTTGTATTTGGTCACAAAATGTAGTTCAAACTAAGTTCGCTTGGAACCAATGCACGAAACAGCCTTAACCAAAGGTAGTGGGTTAGCGCTTCATGTTCGGCGCAATCGAGAAATGCGCTGCCCCACCATTTTAAGGCATTTGCAGAGGTAGAATTGTCACTGTCGGAAGCGCGGATTCAACTTTCTGAGATCAGCATGCCCCATCCGTAGTTGGCAAGCTTTTGGCGAAATAGAAACACAAAACTTGATTCCACCTGCTCGCGATAACGACGCCAGTCGGGAAATCGTGAAGTGCAGCCACCACGCACACAACATAAGAGCCTCGGGGCCGTGACGGCAAAGTACCCGCATAGGCTAGTTATTGGTTTTGGACCGTGAATGCGGTCTAGAGACCGGTTCGGGCGCTGACTATACGGATTGTGCAAACAAGAGGCACGGGTGGTTGCCAAGGATAGTTGCAGGAAGATAGCTAGGTTAACTGCAAATATCACTTCTACATTCTTACAGCATCACCTCTGTCTAACACTAGTTCTTGGCCATTAGCGGCAGCGTTGGCTTCTAGGAAGGATAACCACGGAGGCTGTTTGGGGAATCTAACGGTTGGAATCAAATCTGGCATTTTTTTTCCCTTATTTATGCCACTAGAAATAATCTTTGTTGATGCCAACTCTGGCAGCAACAACTTCATTAAGTAATAAATTCCCCCACGAGTCAATTCGCATGAATATTACCCATAAAACCATTTTTTTTTTTTTTTGGGGGGGGGGGCTTCTAAACAGTGCAGGGTTACTTTGTAAATGTGGTGAATGGACTGACGAGAGGCAATAATTGAGAATAACTCCGTCCCCAGGAATACGCCTTTCTTGCTAAATTCTATCCACAATAACAGCAAAGTAATACGAATGTACAGAAATGGAGTCCTAAGTTGGTGATGAAATAACCCCACTGGGATCCGATTGTTGTTTCAATTTCCGAAGAAGCCCGTCTATTTATAACCAGTAATTACCATAAATTCATGAAAGGGTGGTGCTGCTGCATCTAGAACAAACATACTTAATTAATCAGAACAAAAGCTGATTGCAGCAGCTACAAGAATGTTATATTACCTAATGCCCTTATTAAAAAGTAAAAAAAAATCCAAACAGAACTGGTCTCGGCACTACTAATCACATACTTTGCTTGCATTTCACCAAGAAACCTTTCAGATATATCGAAGAGATTAGTATGTAAAACTGCCGCTTACATTAAGGCTGTCAGTATATATTTTTGGCTCGCTTCAAGGAAGTGTTTTTTTTCTTTATAATGCATGTATGAATTTGAAATTTCATTGATTAGCACTTCAGTTTAGAAAATAAACTACTTTGGATAGCTAGCTTTCCCAGTCTACGCTTAGCCCTAGTTTAATCAATTCAATGCATTTAATCGTAACGACTCTATGTAAGCGTTGGCAAAAGCTAAATGAAAGCTTACGATTTTGGTGACGTATTACATGTGCTATTACGAGTCAGCAAAGATGTCCCCCGCCATTGACTTCAGCTTGCATCGGTGATGCGAGTACATCCATTCAGTAAATTTGCAGCGGCGATTTGATTTGGGGCACTCAATCAGTGCCCGTACGATGTCACATCCATTCGACTCGCGGTGTTCGTGAAGAAACCACGCAACAGCAAAGCGGCTATTTAGCACTGCAGCGTCTATAGCGCTGGCATCATAAGGTACGCGAGCAACGAAGTGGCACCAATACACCTCTTCAATGTTGCCTCGTGCCGCGATGGAGGCCATGGTAGCTGCCGTACCGCCCTCGCTGCTGTTCCGAAGCAGCCATTCTACCATGTTTTGGTAACCGTTTCTTGCTGCATGATCCAGTGTAAGAGTTGTACAGCTCTCGCTTCTGTTCTCAGAAAGCCACAGAACTACATCCAAATAGCAACTTCCAGCAGCACCATCCATTGCCTCAGTCGTACATCCTTCTGTTCGGTTTAGATGAAGACATTTTACTACGTCCAAGTGTCCATTTTTCGCAGCGTAGTTCATTGCATTAATTGTGCACCCTTCGTGTCGATTGTCGTGAAGCCACTTCACCACTTCGATATGCCCCCCAGCAGCTGCATAGTCCATTGCGTGCGTTGTACAGCCCTCAGTTCGGTTCTCGCTCAACCATTGCACAATCTGCAAGTTCCCGTTACGTGCTGCATCATCCATAGCAGAAGTTGAGCAGCCTTCCGAACAATTCTCATGTAGGTATTGCACGACGTCAAGATGGCCACTGGATGCGGCTCTGTCCATAGCGGCAGTTGAGCAAGTCTTGCGCGTGTTCGTGCAACCACTTTACCATCTCCAAGTCACCACTTTCGGCGGCGAAATCCATGGTACGACGTGTGCGAATCCCAGCTAATTTCTTATGCTTACACAATAGCATCCACTTGACCACGTCAAGATGACCGCGTGCAGCTGCAATTTGAATTGCGGTCCTGGTGCAGCCGTCGATGTTGTTGGAATGGAGCAATTTGACTATATCGAGACGCCCCTTCTTCGCCGCATCGTAATCAGCGTGACGGATATGAGCAAGCTTTGGATGATGGCAAATAACCCATTCCACTACAGCAATGTGGCCGTTCAAGCAAGCTCTGTCGAGATCGATGCGGCGATAAGAAGGCCCGTTCGCTTCGTTGCTTAGTTGCTGATTGATCCACTCCAGTATCGCCAAACGCCGGTAATCTATTGCTACTTACATTGCTCCATGCAAGTCGATTTCCTCTGACAGACTCGAGATCCACTTGATCAGGTCCAGATTTCCGTTCCTGGCTGCAAATGCAGCCCAGCGATTAAAGCTCGGATTGGACGGTATGACTCTTTCGAACAACCATTGAGCTAACGCAAAGTGATTGCCCTTGATCGCATGCCACACTACGCTGTAATCCCACTCGGTATCTTTTCGGTGAGTGACGGAAAACATCGTGGTTGCCCATTGACGCATGGTACGAAGCATTCTGTAAAATGTGTCGAGAGCAAATCGATCAGCTCTAGATTCCCAGTCCGCATGGCTTTGGTGATTCCTTTCGAGAATTGCCATTTTCGGAAGTGTGGATTCCACATACTGCTGTCAACAGGCTCCATCGCGTAGCTGGCAAGCTTCTGGCGAACGAGAGACACAAAATTTACTCGCAGGCTCGCGATAAGGACACCTCTTTAGACCAATCCAGAAAGTCGCGAAGTGCCGCTACCACATGCGGCAAACTGAGAGCCTCGTGGCCGTGACGGCATACTACCCGCACACAGACTAGAGCTTGTCGATTAGTGGTAGCATTTGCTCCCACGAAGGGCAGCGACGGCGACAGTTCGCAGTGCTTCATCGTTGTCGCTCAAAGTCTTCTACAATTCGGGAATCAAGACTTCGCATCACTTCATATCGCTACTTCTTCACTGTCTAGTTTTCTGGACTTTATCCTCCTACCCGAGCCATCAACAAGCACTGCCCCGCAATGATCCAAAACAACCACGAGAACATTCCTCTTGGCTCGTAGATAATAAGCGTTTTCACGGGCGAGCACACTGTTTCGAACGAACTGTCAGCTTGATCAAACCTTCATTAATATCTCGCTATTATCTACCAACTGATGGAACACCCGTCAGGATCAGATTATTAAGAAGTGCCCCAATTCAAATCACCGCTGGGAATATGCTGAATGGGTGTACTCGCATCACCGCGACGACCTTGAATCGATGACGGGGGACATCTTTGCTGACTTGGTGATAAGAACACATGCAATACATGTACTGCATCAGTGTCATAATCTACCTTTTCACTACAGTCTCAAGTATAAGGTATACTAGTATATTTAAATATGGAGTCAAATATTATGTAAGACTTGTGTGTAATTGTACGGTACATAGTTTTCAAACATTTTATTCGCATCTAAAGGTACTTCGCAGGCAATTCGTGTTCCTTGTACTGTAAGCAGGCCTTCAGCAACTGCTAGGCTACAACTGCTTGACAAATTTAACGATTGGAAGGTAGAGAGGCTCCGTCCAGCTGTACTGTCCTTCATCCACCTTGGTGTAGCCGAGCGCAGAGTAAAATGTCTTCGCTTTCTCCTTGTTAGCGTTCGTCGTCAGGAATATATGCTTGATTCCGTTCTTTTTGGCCCAGATCTCGAGCTCTGCGATCATTTTTCGACCGATGCTCATGCGCTGAAAGTTCGGATCTAAATACACGCGTCGAATCTGCCCAACATCTTCAGATTCGCGCAACAGTCCGATTATGCCCGCGATTCTGCTGGATCCATTTTTCTTCACCACAGCGACCAAGAAGTTTCCACCTGGAGTCATGTGACTAGCTTCGATATCAGAAAAATCGTTCGTCAGGTCTTTGCGAAGGAGCTCTTCCCACAGGTAGCGATACTTTGGGTCAGAATCGCATGCCATCAGACCTTCTACGTAGATTTTGGTGACTTGAGCATGATCTTCTGGGCGGTACTGTCGAACGCTAATGGAAGCCGAGCTTTCAACCGTCATGGCTTGGCTGGAGTCTGTTGTTGGACTTGGTGAAGCGGGGCAAATGAATCAATGACAAGTCTAGCAACATCCGAGTGCCTTTGAAAGATGCTGTAGACGAATCACGCTGTTTTGATGAGCGACATGTACATGGCCGTGTGTCCAATTCATCAAATGTGCATACATGATTGGCTAAAAGTGCGTCATCTGAAAAATCTTTCGCTCATCAAAACAACGTGATTCGTCTGCAGTCGCCTCTACATACACAGGAACCTCAAAGCAAGATCTGGCGTCGTAACTTCATTGCTTCATTTGACTCTTGTCACCAAAGTCCAGCAACTAGCTCCAGCCACGCCATGACGACCGAAACCTCGACAACCATCAAGGTCCGACAGTATCGCCCAGAAGATCATGCTCAAGTCACCAAAATCTACGTGGAGGGTTTGATGGCGGCTGATCCTAATCCAGAGTATCGCTATCTATGGGAGGAGCTCCTTCGCAAGGACCTGACGAATGATCTAGCGGACATTGAAGGAAGTCACATGGCTTCGGGTGGAAACTTCTTGGTTGCGGTGGCGACAAAGGCTGGAATCAGCAAGGTCGTGGGTATTATCGGCCTGTTGCGAGTATCGGAGAAAGAAGGACAAATTCGACGCGTGTTTGTGGATCCGAATTACCAGCGCATGAGTGTCGGCCGAAAAATGATCTCAGAACTTGAGATCTGGGCCAAGCAGAACGGGGTTAAGAGTGTATTTCTGACGACGAACGCAAACAACGAGAAGCCGCAAGCATTTTACACGGCACTCGACTACACCAAGGTGGATGAAGAACAGTACGACTGGAAAGACCCTCTCTACTTCCGCGTCTTCAAATTTGTCAAGCAGTTGTAGTTTCGCTTTCATTTTTCCGAAGATACAACAACAACCAGCTTTTTTTTTTTTTATAAGTACGTAGAACGGTTTTGTAATACATTTCCATGCAAATAGTCGTTTTTACATTTAGAGAACTCACCGTTTTTGGTTAGTTTCACTATGAACTCAACGTTAAAAACTCAAGTATTGTGTTGGCATAGCTCTTGCTCTGTAGATGGCGGTGTTTCGAATGCCTATACAATAGCAGTTCGAGACGTTCTACATACTGAAAGCTACAGTTGCTTCACAAACTTGTCGACTTCGAAATACTGAGGATTTTCCCAGAAGCGCACGAGTTCGTCAACCTTCGTGTAACCGAGAGCGGAGTAAAACGCCAAAGCCTGCTTCCTCTTGGGATTCGTCGTTAAGAACAAGCTTTTGATCCTAGTCTGCTTAGCCCAGCTTTCAAGTTCAGCCATGAGCTTCCTTCCAACTCCCATGCGTTGACAATTCGAGTCGACAAATAAACGGCGAACGTCGCCCACGTTCTCAGATCTGCGTTGCAACCCGATGATCCCGACGATCTTGGTTGATTCGTCCTGTGTCGCTGTCGCCACCCAGAAGTTGCCACCCAGAGCCATATGACTGGCTTCGATATCCGCAAAGTCGTGTGTTAAATCCTTGCGCAGACGCTCCTCCCACAAGTAGCGGAAGTCCGAATTGTCGTCGAACGCCATCAAACCCTCGACGAAAATCTTTGTGACGGTGGCATGATCTTCGGGGCGATACTGTCGGACTGCAATACTCGTTCGTTTGGCTTGTTGCGTTGAATGCTCAGAGGTTCTGGCGGCAGTCATGGAGTTTGCGTGGTTGGGGTAAGAGTGAGTTCAACTTTGCAGTGGGATGCAAAATACGAGAATGAATTGTGCTACAAGCATTCGTCGTTCGAAGATGGTCCGGCATCGAAATAAGTAAGTACTTTAGAGACAAACCCTTGTTTAGATGAGTTCATCGATGAGATGAACACGCTGTGCTATACAGAATCTGTGAGCTTGATAAAAGTGACTAGGTGATTAGTGGTCTCTTCGCCGTTTCGAAACTAGAGAGATCGGATAGCGTGATGGTTTAGAATTTGTAATCTCAGATGAGGTGACGCTTAACAGTTTACTCGTACTGGAACCTTTGGGGGGGGGCTAAAGGATAGCCCTCAACGGATTAATTTCGCGGTACTGTGTAGCTCGGTCGATGTTATCTCGCTCAACATTCAGCTTACATAAAAAAGTAAGATGAATGTTGAGCAAATATACTGTACAATCGGCCATTCAAATCTGACAAATGACTAGCCAAAAAAAAAAAAAAACCGTGGAAACATTAAATTTCGACGATGGTTGAGCGTGGCTTGCTGCGTCGTATTTACAATTGCATCGCGAAAGAAATGCAGGCAGATGTAAAGCACATGTGTGTCTCGTGATCGGTATGAATTCGAAAACTAATCTGTACAACGGCTTTGTCGATGAAATGTTTGCTTAATTCAGTTGGTGATAAGCCGGGCAGTATGAACTAATACACTTATGCATGTCCATGTACATGCAACCAATGACCCCAAAAGCGCTTCCCTTTAGCAAGAAAACAACAGTTATGCCTTCGTGGCCTGCAAAGCAAATAATAAGATCAGAAAGCACCCTCTACGTAATACGTTTCCCTTCACTCCATTAGTAAAACAGTGGAACGATGTTAGATGCCAGTTTAGTACATATTTCGAATACATTTACTTACGAGCTCGAGGTTAAAAAAAACTGCTTATCCACTTCGCGATTTAATCTAATTATCTATTTCATTTGAGGCAGATCTGGTCGATAAACGACTTGCTCAAGTTGAGAGGTAATGTTGCAGAACTCATCAGTTTTAGAAAAGATTTTATGTTGGAAAACTCATTTGTTGGCAATCTGTTTGTATTCCGCTAACCTGGCAGCTTACCTTACGCAAAAATGTACTTCCAGATAACTATAAGTCGAAGACGATCTACAGCAGTATTAAATCGAAGACACACTCTGACAGCCCTCGGGTGCGTAGTAAAAAAAAACGCATTCATTCTGCAACAATATATTCTGCCACTTTCTCACATTCGCCCTGATGGTGTGAGTGTAGCCACTCTGCGAACCCCCATCGACGCTCCGGAATGGAGCAATCATTCAAGGCTTGAATGACATCGCACTGTGTCCATTGTCGATATTGATGGAGAAACCACGCAATCTCGAAATGACCGCTCAGCACAGTACGCTCGATTGCCGTAGCATCATACAGCGGCCCGACATAATGGCACCAGTAAACTCTTTCAATGCCACCTTGAAAAACACAAGCGACCATAGTGGAGGCGGTACCGCCCTTGCTTCTATTCCGATCAAAGCCAATCCACCACATGCCAGAAGTCATTCTTGGCCGCTTCATCCATTGCGCTAGTGGTGCAGCCTTCCCTTCGGTTGGCATGTAACCATTCCACTACAGCCAGATGGCCATTTTTTGGCGGCGTCGTTCATGGCAGTTACTGTACATCCTTCGCTTCTGTTAGTATGAAACCACTTTACGACGTCGAGCTGTCCATATTCAGCTGCACCATCCATGGCAGCCACAGTGCAGCCTTCAGATCGATTTGCACTGAGCCACTTTACAACCTCCAGTTTTCCATATCTTGCAGCAAAGTCCATGGCGTCTGTTGTACACCCTTCATTCCAATTGAAATGCAGCCACTTTACAATTTCTAATCGGCCACCTGACGCTGCCATATCCATTGCTCGCGCAGTGCAACCTTCATTTCTGTTAATACTTAGCCACTTCACAATATCCAGATACCCGTTTTCAGCCGCAGTATCTATCGCGAAAGTGCTACAGCCTTCCGACCAATTATGATGTAGCCACTTTACGATGTCCAAATGATTATTCTCAGCAGCTTCGTCCATTGCGTACGTGCTGCCTTCAGACGTGTTCTCGTGTAGCCACTTCACAATATCCAAGTGCCCGTTTCTGGTTGCCTCTGTCATCGCTTGAGAGTTGTCGTCTTCGTACTCAGAGATGTGCATACAATTACCCAACCACTTTACAATATCCAAATGTCCGGGACTTGCAGCAGATGTTGTCGCTGTCCTGCTGCAACCTTCAATGCTGTTATCGTGAAAAAAAAAGACGCACAATATCCAAGTGCCCATCCAAGGCTGCTTGGACATCAGCACGCGTTACTCGACACTTGGTCTTACTCTAATGATCATTTTGACGTCCTTGTGTGGTTCATTCAACATTATAAGCTGCAAACCCACTGGAGCATCTCAAGGTCTCCATTTTTCGCTACACATGAAGAACACAGCCTCATCTCCACTCGTGTACCCAGCCACTTGGTCAGGGCATAATGCTTATTGTTGATTGCAATTCCAACGACGATAGTGTCCAACCTCGTGTCTTCATAGTTATCCACTAGCCAGTGCGCTATTTCATCTCGATCCAGCTTAGCAGCTTGATTGAGTTTCTTCAGGCACATAGCACTCCGAAAAATGGTCTGATAGTAACTGCACCATTTCCAGATTCCCGCATTGACAGCATTGGTTACAGCTTCTGAGAACTGATATTGTCTGAGCTTCGGGTGCTGAATCTTACTATCGACACCTTCGTTGGCGAGTGCGAAAAGTTTACGATGCAGTATAAATATGAAATTGGAACTGCATGCGCGAGGAAGAGGGATTTCACGAGACCAGTCGAGATATGTCTGGAGGGAGGCCACGACGTGCGGCAAGCGAAGCGCTTCGGCTACTCCGGCAGACAGTGCGGACGCAGACTAGTGCTTGGACGTGGCGAGGCGCAGCGCCATC